CCCAGGCAACCCCGCCTCCTCCATTGTCCTCCTTCCAGGTCCAAGGTGTTATGTTCTGTCACCTGGGCCTCAATGAGTCACACTCCTCTCCCCTCCCTCATCATCTAATAAACCATCTTGTTAGTCTTTAAAGTGCTACATAGTCCTGTATTTTGTTTCTCCTCGTGCAGCTACTGCTGCAGAGCCTGGGGAAACTGAGGCACGCACACACCCGCCCACCGCGTCACTACAGAGCAGCATAGGGCATCACACCCAGCACAACACAGCAACCAGTGAATGCAAAAGCTGAGTGGATCCAGGGCCACACGCGTGGACAGCACCCCCACTGCGTCACACGTGTGCACGTGCACCAGCTAAACTTTCAACAGGAAAAGCCTTGTTGTTCGGGATGTGAAAGGTTAACTGGTTAGCCAGTGGGGGTTGGAGCAGCTCCCCGCCCATTGCGGGCAGGGGGCTGCTCCAGCCTCGCAGGGCCTAAAGTGGGCAGGGGCACTCCACCCCGGCCAGAGCAGCCCCTGTCCACAGCCGGTCTAGGCACATCACAGACAGGGGCTGCTCCAACCCAGTAGCCATCCCATCTATCCCCCCCTTTAATCAATTAACCGGTTAAACATCATGTTTAATCGGTTACCCAGTTAAATGGGATTTTACATTCTTTCTCGTTATAATTGCCCTAGGATGGCTATTGTTCCTTGCATATTCCTCCTGCGCCTTCTTACAACCTGGATGTTTCCTGTTGCTGCCAGTTATTTATTTTCACACGCGGGGAACGTTTCTATGCTCTCGCCCCCCCCCTCCCATGTACTAATAGCTTTATTAATAGGTTTCCAGCTCCTCAGGAAGTTTCTAAGTGGAATGCGCCTCTGATTTCATGTTTCAGGAGCAGGCGCAGGCTGCCGAACCAAAAAAAGAGAGCAGAAAAGCTTAGTTGACCTAAGAGCATTAGAGGTGCATTTGCTTGACATTAACCATTGAGCGATGTCGGGGTCATGTGGCTGCATAGGGCAACCTGACTGGTTACAAGCGGACTGAGTTATTCAGGTCAGAAATAGTGTGTGTGGTTTTCCTACCGCGCCGTGTTGTGTTTGCTTGGATACCAGCAACTTAAAGGTAAGGTATGGATAGACATTGCAGATACTCTTTTGTTCCGTGCGTGCATGCGTGTGTGTAATAAATTGCAAGCGGTTGCTTGGAAACATAGACGGACGTGGCTAGAAAGTCCCTAATCTCAAATGTTTTGTTACAGAGCTTTAGCAGCAAACTATGCTGAAGGGTTTTCCTCTGAGATCTCTGGCTCAGGTCAGCTTAAATTGTAGCAGATGGTACTTGTATGTGGGGGGAAAAATCCCACCTTTTCTGTGATGTTTTGGGCAGCTGTTCTGTCTTGGCTGTGTGTTAGTTTGTTGTATTTGCCCTACGGATGGGGGAAGACAAGCGCAGAGTTCTCCTGGTGTCGTGGGTAAAATGGCTTTTAACCATTTCCCTTCTGTCTCGGGCAGTAGGCGGCTGCGCTGGGCAGGGATTAGTTTTCTAGCTCATGAGCCATGCAGGGACGCGGCACTGCACCAGCTGTTGACTGCGCTTTTGGAAAGCTTTCGCGTCCAGCTTCGCGAGCCATAAAAAGGGGGTGAGTGTGAGCTGCTTTCCTGCCATACCTTGCATCGCGAGCACTGCTGATACTTCGCAGTGACAGCTCTCTTTAAATCGCACAGTGGTGGTTTTTAATCTCCTGCCGATCCTGTAAATCCAGGCAGATTTACTCTCGCCCTTCTTCCTCCCTGCTTTTTGTGAGCAGACTGTCACAAACCAGCTTCCCGGCAAACTTGCCCTACTAAATCAGCTGCCAGCTGAAAGGCATCCTCCTCCTCCGTGGTTTGTTCTCTTTCTCCCCCTACCCTGCCTCGCTGTCTAATTGCAAACTGCCCCCTGAACCACAAGCTAATCCTTCCTAGCTGATCTTGAAGCAGAAGTACCTGGCACTCAGCAGGCATGTTGTACAATTTTGATCTTCTGTGTTTCTTAGTATCCTCTAGAAACACATAGAAGCAGCTCTGTACAGCCCAATGCGCTCGCTCTAACTAGCATCGATCAGCCAGAGTTGGGGGGGGTGAGTGAGGCCAAGTGATCGGTCTGTTGCTTGTTATCACAAGTATCTGAGAACCTCACAGGCTTTACTATATTGGTCTTCATGGTGCCCATGTGTGAAGTGTGGCAGTGCTGTTAGTCCCCATTGTACAGAGGAGGAAACTCAGGCCCACAGGGGGCTCAGTAACTTTCCCAAGGTCACACACACAGTCAGTGGCAGAGTAGAGAATTAAACCCCGGTCTCCCCAGTCCCAGGCTAGCACCCTAACCACTGGACCAACCTTCCTTTGTAGAGTCAACGAAGCCGGCCCTAGTTTGGTTTGACTTTGGAGTGGAATACAGTATTGATGGTAGAAATGCGCAGGATATATCCAGCTGAAGCCTGAAGCACTCTTTGCCAGGAGATGGTGTGTCAGGGTGGGAGGGGCGTGTGGCATTGTTCATTTGTGTTGCTGCGGGAGCCCTTATCGCAGGCCAGGACCTCATTGTGCTCCATGTGGTGCAGACGCAGAACAATGTAAAAGGGAGGGGAGACCTTAATGAAAGCAAGTAGCATTTATTAATGACGGCCCTTCTCGAGCCCAAGTAGGAGCGAGTCCATCGGGGAATCAGCAGCGTCCTCTTCTTTGTCTTAATTTGGGCGTAGAAAAGGGCATCCCACTTAGATGCCTAGAGTGTCTCTTGTTCCCAGATCTGTCTGCTCCCCCTCCCCTCCTTACTAGGACTGCCCCTCCCCCTGGCAGAGGAGTCTCCCGCAGGGCATAACCTGCCGACAATCTGCCCCTGCAGACGGAGCACCAGCCGTGAGGTGCTGTCCGCTCCCGGAGCTTGGAGACAGCGACGCTGAGGTGAGAGCCAAGCGCCCTGCCGCAGCGGCGCAGCTGCCTTGTAAGCCCCGCGCAGGGGCTCAGAACTGGGGTGGAGAGAGATGCCTCTCTCCAAGCCCCGGACCTGCTGTGTCCTCTGCCTGCCAGCCCCATTCCGGAGCTGCGGCGACTGGGAGAGAAATGGCAGTGCTCTCCCTGTCCGGCCAGGTCCAGCTGAAGCTGCTGAGGCCATGGAGAGGTGCTTCTCGCCTGGCCCTGAGCTGCTGTGATGAGGGAGGGCTAGGAGTAATCCACACCCCCCTCCAAATCCCTCATCCCCAGCTCCACCCCAGAGTCTGCCTCCCCTTCTCCAGCCATGAACCCCCTTCTGCACCCCAAGCCCTGCATCTCTGGCGCCACCCTGGAGCCCACACCCCCAGCAGGCCCTTCATCCCCCCCAGCCCTGAGCTCCCTCCCACACTCTTAGCCCCTTGCCCCACACCCCGACCCCGTGCGGCGTGAGATCGGTGATGTGCGCCGAGACGGAGATGTCACGTCACCCGTCACGTAGTGGTGCACGTAACCATGCCCGTGGACATGAAAAATAGCCATGCCGATGTTCCCGCTCAGGCACGGAGACCCAGCCCCTCCCCAGGTTTCAGAGGACGGGGCGGGAATATCTACTGTACTGTGTCTGAGCCCTGTCACACCAGCCCCGGTCAGTTAACCCGGGCTCTGAGACATGGTGCTGTGAGGTGGGATTTTTTAGGGGGTGGGTAAGAGGGACATAGATGTATCCGGTCTGCCTTCACCTCCCCCCGCCCCCCATAAAACTGAGCTGCTTCTTTCCTCCCGGGGGTGTTGTGACGGTAAAATGGCTCAGCGAGTGAGGCCTCAGAGACAAAGGCGCGAGGGGCGTGTTTAGAAGGAAGCTTCAGGCTTTACATGCTCTTCAGTAGGCTGGTACAATTTAGGGATGAATAAGTCTCCTCTTACCGTCTCGGAGGGGTCGCCGTGTTAATCTGTAACTAAAAAAAACCTTGGAAAACGACAGTGGTCCTGAGGCACCGTAGAGTCACTGCCTCTCCCCTCTTCTTCTGCTTTATAATTCAACCTCTGTGCCTCTTGCGCCGTATTTGTCATCTGAAGAAGTGGGTGGTGCCCACGAAAGCTCATGGTACCATCTGTCATGGCTCCTTCCCCACTCTGGCATGATAAATGCAGAAGTGGGGGCCAGCAAGTGTACCCCAAAGCCTTATCTACCAGGCTTTGGTATAAAACTTCCCCCCAAGATCTTAAAAACCTAGATCTTGGGAATAAAACTTCCGCTGCCACCACCCAAATGTTGATAAAGAAATCAGGGGAAAGATCATTTGGGAAATCTTAACCCTAAAATAAAAATCAAGGCACACAATTAACCACTGCCAGGTTAATAAAAAGAAAAGAAAGAACTTTTATTATTACAACAATATTCCTGTTGCAAACATAATGACTAGATAGGGAGGTAACAAAATATACTCATGGAGAAACTCCATGGGCCTAGAACTTAGTTACAAAGAAAAGCCAAAACATCTTTTAAACAGTGCCAGATCTCAGATCCCATACCCAATCCTTAAAACAATAAAACCTAACGAAACTACCTAAACTTGACCCTACTTACAGAAAATGAAGCATGGTGTCTTGGAGAGAGAGAGACATGCTTGTCCCTCTCTGTAGCTGCAGAGAACTCACCCAGAGAGACAAAAGGGAGGAAAAGAAAAAAAACACAAATTCCTTTGTCCCAGTTTGAAAAATCCCACCTACATTCTTATTGGTCACTCCACCTGGCTAGGTGTAGTTAACCCCTTAATCCCCAGGCTGCTGGCTAACCCTCATAATCATGACACCATCTATTTAATTTTCGGATAGTCTCTAAAGTGCTATAGGACCGCTCCTCTTAGAGGGGGCTCATTGGTCTTTTGTGATCCCTCTGGAGCGTGTGGATCTAGAAAATCTGATCTCTTCTTTGCACTTAAAATAATCCACCCTGTGAGATCTTCCACCTCCGGGAGATGTGAACCCTCAACCAGTGTTTTCCCTGAGCTGTAACCCCACATCTTTCCTTGATAGATTGGCCTTCTGCCTTGGGGCACGCAGACTTCCTCCACGTCAGATCTGGCAGTGCAGGCACAGACCAAAGGGCACAGAGCTTTCACCGTGACCGTGGCTTTAGCCTCGGGCAGGGGATACACCCATAATGGCCAGTGGCATTGCACTGTGTATCTACGGGGAGGTGACAGCAGAGCCTAGAGTCCATGGTGAGAGAGCAGGGTAAGTTCTTCTGTCATCCTTTGCTGTGACCTCGGCACCCCTGTCTGGCCTAGGCGGGAAGGGGGTACTGCTAGCGCATGCTGGTTAACATGTGCTAACTCGTGTGTCAGGTGCACGTAGCGCAGGTTAGATAACGTATGTGAACATCACACCTTTTGGTGTCCTCCTCTAGACAAGGCCAGACACAGCTGAGCCGAGGAGGCAGCGCATGGGGGCCCAGGAGAGTTACATTCCATTCCTAGCCCAACACATGGTGCCCGGGGGCAGCTCTTGCCCCGGCTTGGTGCATTTGTCAGCCAGCCCTTAGCCGCTTGGGAAAGTGCTTTTGGGTCCGTGAAAAGCGGAAAGCAGCTGTGAATCTGAAGGCCTTTTTACAAGGGCCCGTGTGATGCTGTCGTGCCATACCCAAGCCCAGGTTTCAATCCTGCTCCAGTATTGAGTCTATCCAGGGACTGTTGCGGGGTGGGGCTCCGGAGGACAGAGCGATGCTGGAGCCCTGAAGTGTTCCAAGGTAGCAGGGAAGTTTAATGGGAAAACAGCAGCACAAACTAGATGTTTAGCTCTCATGGCTGCCCCTTTAACTCACACAAGTGAGAAATCATATCAGGGCGAGAGTTGGTTTCCTAACAGCTGCCTTCCTGCGCTGCTGCTCCTGCTGGGGGAAGCTACACAGCAACGCAGGTTATTACCTTATCAGGGTCTTTTCTAGCGAGCAAAGCTGCTAAAGAAATCCAGCATCTGAGCTTACAACCCCCACCCCCTCCTGCAGGCTCCAGTGCAGCCTCTGCCCTCCCACCCCATGGATGCAGACTGGGTCTCGGGTGTAGCTAGTGGTCCCTGCATGCTTCCAGGGCGCTTGGGGCGGATCCACTCTGCTTTTCTCCCTGCAGAGCCGACAGCTGGGTTTCTCTGCAGCTGTCTCAGGTTTTTTAATAGAAACAGTTTGCATAAGAGTGCAGACGCCGGTGTGTCTCCCAAGGAAGCCTTCGCGTTCAGACAGAGCCAGCTAGAAATCCCTTGCTGTGAGCTTCTCACAGCTAAGCTAGGCAGTTTCACTTCAACGGGCAACACACTGACCATCCTTCTAGTCTTAGACAAGCCCCCTCTCCCATGAACTGCTCTACCTCTCCCCGGACACTCCCTTTCAATGCCCTCACAATCAGTATTCCTTCCAATTTTTTCCACCCGTGTGCAGAATAATTTTGTTATGTGCACCAAGGCATGCACAGATGTGCACCACCAGTAGTAACACAGGCTGCCAGTTCCGGGTGCTCTGCTAATACACTGGGCGGCATCTGAATCTCTGCTCAAGTCCTCAGCTTACAGGGAATACGGCTCACAATCCTTGCGTTGCAAGGAGTTGCTGCAGTCATCCTCGGACCAGATCCCAGCTTGCTCGGAGAGCTAGGGCGTGCCCCGTTTCCTGCTAGATTCCTAAGTGGAGTAGGTCCCAGCGTGTGTGGTTCCATTTGCACCTGCTAAGGCAATTGCAGTGGGCAGTCACAGGAAAGCCCCAGGAGATGCCCAGCTGTCTGGGACTGTGACCTGTGGGGAGAATGCCCCTCTGCTTCTTCTCCAAAGCACGGTCAGGCTGCCGGCACAGTTCAAAGCACGCAACTTTGGCTTTGCAGAGCCACGTGTAGGGTGCTGGACATTCTCTTCGTATAGCAGCACTGGAAGTGGGGGGACCATTTCTGGTGTAGGGCGTTAGATTCTGCACCCCTTCCTCCCTGTCCTGCCCTCAGGCACGTTTTGCTGGGCTCAGGGAGGGGAAGGAGCCTTCGTTTGAAGGGGCCTGTCTTCATTGACAAGCTTCCACTGTGGATGGTCAGTCGGGGCCTGTCCGTCTTCTGGGTATCCCGAGCAACCGTGCGAGAGCACAGCTGCTCACGACTAGGGTGGGCATTTGGAGGTTGGCACCACATTGCAAGACAGCCAGGGAGCTGGCCAGCCGCATTAGAAATGGGTCTTCCCCAAAGACGCGCCATGCTCAGGTTTCCCTGCGGAGCCTGGTCAGGCGGGCTTTGCAGAAGAAGTACAAGGCGACTGGTGCAGATGGGGTGTTCCTCTAACACCTTGCACCCGACACGGTCACATCAGTCGCTCAGCCTCAAAGCGCCACCTAACCCCCCCGGGCAGGTGGCCTATTCGCTGCTAAATGGAGGCAGAGAATAGACAAGTGATTTCCCCAAGGTTACCTGCTTAGCTCCAGGCAGAACTGGGAACGGCGCCCAGGCATCCTGGCAACCCGCCCTCTGCTCGGCTGGGTGCCTGCTTGGTTTCTGTGGCAAGCGTTGGCTGTCAGGCGATCTGATCTCATTACGTCCACCTTAGCTGGCCCTCAGGTGAGAATTCCTGAGGTGTTACCCTCGGGGTCAGGGCGGGAAAAAGCTGTGGCAGTCCCCCACTAATTTTGGCACAGCGTGGCCCGGTTCGGCTCTGTTTGCTTGGTCCCATCCCCACAGTGATTTCACCCTGTTTGTTTCTCCCTTTCAGCCTCTCTCTGCCGGTGACTGGCTGTGGATTTATGGAGGCGCCGGGGAGCAGCTTTGAGTATTGCCACGCGCAACATTGTGCCCCCTGAAGACGGGTCTCTGCCGGCTCGGCTGCCCCTGGGTCTGCACCCTCGGGTTTAACCATTCAAATCTCCCGTGCATGGCTCTCGCAGCCAAGGGATTTCTGCTGGCTGCTGCCAAAGCCTGATCCACTTCGGGCCTCCGTCACTGCTCCCAAGTACTCCACCTATCCAGATGGGGTAACGTGACGGAGCGAAACGGGCACACGAGGAGGTTCCCCGATGCAGAGGCCTTTCTAGAGAGGAGAGCCAGGAAACAGGCTGGCACAGGAAGGAAAGAGGGTGGCGGCTCCGGATTGCACACCCAAAGGAGACTGACACTACAAAGGGAGATTATTATTTTTTATTATTATTATTTGGCTGCAAGCACATGGTTTTTTGTGTGTGTTGGGGATCTAACACACTCTCAAGAGCTGGCAATATTTGCACAACACTTGTGTTTTTTAAATTACCTTTTCTCCTCCAAAACTCCAGAGTGGTTTTTGGGGTTTTGGGGGTTTTTTTTACTTCTCGTCCTTCTTTCGTCGTATTTACATCTCTCTCCCTTCACCATGGCCCGTATGAACCGGCCAGCACCTGTGGAGGTCTGCTACAAAAACATGCGGTTCTTGATTACCCACAACCCCACCAATGCCACGCTCAGCACCTTCATAGAGGTAAGTCGGAACTGCAGGAAAGGTGGAGGGGTGGCTCAGGGAGCTAGTTGTTAGAACATAACATAAGAATGGCCATTCTGGGTCAGACCAAAGGTCCATCTAGCCCAGTAGCCTGTCTGCCGACAGTGGCCAGTGCCAGGTGCCCCAGAGGGGGTGGACCGAAGACAATGATCCTTCTCTAGCCTTTGACAAACAGAGGCCAGGGTACCTTTCCTTACCCCCCGACTAAGAGCCTTTTATGGACCTAACCTCCATGAATTTATCTAGCTCTTTTTTAAACTTTGTTACAGTCCTAGCCTTTACAGCCTCCTCTGGCAAGGAGTTCCACAGGTTGACTGTGCGCTGTGTGAAGAAGAACTTTATTTTATTAGTTTTAAACCTGGTACCCATTAATTTCATTTGGTGTCCTCTAGTTCTTATATTATGGGAACAAGTACATAACTTTTCTTTATTACCCTCTCCACACCACTCGTGATTTTATATACCTCTGTCATATCCCCTTCAGTCTCCTCTTTTCTAAACTGAAAAGTCCCAGTCTCTTTAGCCTCTCCTCCTTTGGGAACCTTTCCAAACCCCTCATCATTTTAATTGCTCTTTTCTGAACCTTTTCTAATGCCGAAATATCTTTTTTGAGGTGAGGAGACCACATCTGTACGCAGTATTCAAGATATGGGCGTACTGTAGTTTTATATAGGGACAGTAAGATATTCTTCGTTTTATTTTCTATCCCTTTTTTAATAATTCCTAGCATCCTATTTGCTTTTTTGACTGCCGGTGCACACTGCGTAGACGTTTTCAGAGAACTATCTACGATAACTCCAAGATCTCTTTCCTGATTAGTTGTAGCTAAATTAGCCCCCATCATATTGTATGTATAGTTGGGGTTATTTTTTCCAATATGCATTACTTTACAGTTATCCACATTAAATTTCATTTGCCCTTTTTTTTTTTCCCTTTTTTTTTTTTTTTTTTTTTTCTTTTCCTTTCCCCAATCACTCAGTTTGGTGAGATCTTTTTGAAGTTCTTCACTGTCTGCTGTGGTCTTGACTATCCTGAACAGTTCAGTATCGTCCGCAAACTTTGCCACCTCACTGCTCACCCCTTTCTCTAGATTGTTTATGAATAAGTTGAATAGGATTGGTCCTAGGACTGACCCTTGGAGAACACCACTACTTACTTACCCCTCTCCATTCTGAAAATTTACCATTTATTCCTACCTTTTGTTTCCTGTCTTTTAACCAGTTCTCAGTCCATGAAAGGATCTTCCCTCTTAGCCCATGACAACCTAATTTACACAAGAGCCTTTGGTGACAGCCTTGTTAAAGGCTTTCTGGAAATCTAAGTACACTAAATCTACTGGATTCCCCCTAGTCCACGTGTTCGTTGATCCCTTCAAAGAACTCTAATAGATTAGTAAGACATGATTTCCCTTTACAGAAACCATGTTGACTTTTGCCCAACAAATTATGTTCTTCTGTGTGTCTGACAATTTTATTCTTTACTATTGTTTCAACTAATTTGCCTGGTACTGACGGGCAATTATCCTGTAGTTGGATAGAGAGGTTTGATCTCACAGAGACACTGGTTCAGTCTAGCCTCATGGTGCCCAACACTTTAGCCACTAGCCACTTGTGGCTATTTCGCTGGCTGCAATGTGGCTAGTTCGCTTTTGCAGTAGCCACTAGTGACTACTGCTTCATAACTGATTGGACACCATGGGTCTAGCCTATCACTTGACTGGGACTCAGGAAACCTGGGTTCAGTTCCTGGCCCTGCAACAAACTTTGCAAGTGCCCAAGTCAAGTCATTTAATATCTCTGAGCCTCAGTTGCCTGTCTGGAAAATAAGGCCAGTAATACTCTCTCCCTTCTCCTTGCACCCTGCCTTGTCTGTGAGGATTGGATTGTAGAGTCTTTGGAGCAGGGACTCATAGAATCATAAAATACTAGAACTGGAAGGGACCTCGAGAGGTCATCGAGTCCAGTCCCCTGCCCTCATGGCAGGACCAAATGCTGTCTAGACCATCCCTGATAGACATTTATCTAACCTGCTCTTAAATATCTCCACAGATGGAGATTCCACAACCTCCCTGGACAATTTATTCCCATGTTTAACCACCCTGACAGTTAGGAACTTTTTCCTAATGTCCAACCTAAACCTTCCTTGCTGCAGTTTAAGCCCATTGCTTCTTGTTCTATTCTCAGAGGCCAAAATGAACAAGTTTTCTCCCTCCTCCTTATGACACCCTTTTAGATACCTGAAAACTGCTATCATGTCCCCCCTCAATCTTCTCTTTTTTAAACTAAACAAGCCCAATTCCTTCAGCCTTCCTTCATAGGTCATGTTCTCTAGACCTTTAATCTTTCTTGTTGCTCTTCTCTGGACCCTCTCCAATTTCTCACAAGTGCGGTGCCCAAAACTGGACACAATACTCCAATTGATGCCTAACCAGCGCAGCATAAAGCGGAAGAATGGCTTCTCGTGACTCGCTGGACTACAACTCAGATCTCTGACTGGGATTTAAAATAAAAGGGAATTGGGCATTCAGCCCGCTAGGCAGCCGTGCCAGCCCCACTCGACGTGTGCACACAGCTCCCAGCACAAATGGTCCTCGGACATTTATGGCCTAGAGTTGGTGCTGTAATGTAGACTCTCATGCTCCTCCTTTCCAGGTGTGTGAGTTCAGAGCCTTTCACTACCAGTTAGTTTGGGGCTCGTTGGCAATGATGGGCCAGATCTGAGTGCAGGGCCTTACACCGGTTTTGCTCCGCATCCATGCAGAGAGGGCGAGTGTCTTGTAATGTCTGGAAATGGAGGCAGCTTTGGCTGTTGCGAGGGCTCGCCGCTAGGCTGCTGTTCATACCATGCAGCGCCATCTTCACGGCCGTTGGGAGAGCCTGTGCCCCTCCCAGGCCCTTTATCTGAACAAAGGCATTGAGCCACAGGCTGGTGACAGGTCACCGCTTCGATCTCGGGCATAACGCAGGCCATGGGACACCCCTGGCGTAATTGCTGCCAAAACTAGACAGACCCTTGAGAGAGACATTCAACCCGGATCTAAAAATTGCCACTGATGGAGAATCCATCATCATGTCGGGATGTAAGCGGTTAACCAGCTACCCAGGGGCAGCCCCCCGTCCGTGACCAGTCACTGGCAGAGGGCTGCTCCAACCCCGCAGGGGTCAACAGCTGACCACCCCATGCACAGGGGGGCTGGGAGTGGCAGTCCCGCACACGGGGGACCAGGAGCAGCAGCCTTGCATGCAGGGAGTTCAAGAGCAGGATCTGGCAGCCCTGTGCTGAGGGCTGTTCCATCCATGCTGGAGCTGTCCCCCTTAATTGGATCCCGCTTAATTGGTTAACTGATGAAAACTAGAGGTTAGCTGGTTAACTGATTCACCAGGGTTTTACCTAGCAGCATCCTTGTGATTCGAATCTTTTTCCCATGGTTAATTTCCCTTGTGTGTAATTTTTTTGTAGTGTGCTGTATTTCTAGTCTCCCTGTATCCAACTACTGGATCTCATTATTCCTTTGTCTGCTAGGTTGAAGGACTCTCACACCTGAGCCTTTTCTCCATTAAGCTAAATAGAGTAAGCGCCTTGAGTCTGGCTTTTCTTTGAACCCTCTTCAGTTTCACAGCAACCTTCTTTGACTTGTGGACACCAGAACTGGACACAGCATTCCAGCAGCCGCCCCATCAGA